AAAAGTAAAACAACTTCATATCTAAGTTTAAAAAAATGTGAGCGTCATTATCATTCAAAGTAGGTATCACAAAATGATAAAGAAATGTTACGATAAAGGCCAATGTTATATTTTTTCACTAAACAATGTTCACAACTGAAGGTATTAACAAAAAATAAATACAATCCTTTGTTAAATATAAAACAACCTAAAATATGATTCATGCATAGGTCAACGTATAAACTGTTATTGAGTACTTGAATTATATATACATATATACACACACAAAAACCGGTTCCGACGGGTACCCAGCGGGTAACGGTTCCAAAAAAATAAGAACCGGAACCGCTTAAGGCGGTTCCTAAACTTTAAGAACCGGAATCGGAACCGCATAAGGCGGTTTCGGTTCCGGAACCGGCAGTTCCGTGGCGGTTCCGGTTCTGAAAGCGGGTACCCGGTTATTATGCTCACCCCTACCTGTGAGTATGTCGACATATTCTAGTTAATCAAGTGTGTTCCTCCAAAAGTCCTAAACATCCCTGGAAGTAACCCTAATGGTTTAGCCTTCCATTGACTTCATTAAACAAATTACTTGAATGAGATAAATGAAATGATTAATAAAATCCATAAACAAAATTAGAATCATTAAACAATGTAGCCTAATGATTATCAAAGTATAGAACAGTTAAACCTTAGGGAAGAAGAAATAATTTCTAGAAAATAAAGAATTGATGAAGATTAACCTCATGAGTAATCAGTTGAGCTCATTGCCAAAGTCCCGTTTTCAAGGTTCACTAACATAGTTAGCGTGGTCGGTAACACTTAATGGACCAACCCATACACTCCCGCTATCGAGGTGTCGCATATTGTTTCACACAATGTCTTCAACTTGAACTTTTCTTCATATTTATCTTGATTGTGCATTCTTCAAGTTCTTTGATGGCTTCATCGGATTTGATCATCTTTGTATTTGACTTGAGCTTGAATATATATACTTGGAAGTTCTTCAACGTCTTATGATGCTTTTTGGTTGTGTGAAAACAATAATAGTCCCCTCCCAACCCCAAAGGCGCATGAGTAAGTAAGACTAAGTACGCAGAGCATGATGACACATATTGTTCGGTTGGGACCTCAATTGAAAGATCGTAGGCTCGAGCCAAAAACCTTCATTTTTCAAACACTTGGGTATTTCACATAACAATTTTTAAATAAATATAGATATTTCCAAACCGGCTGAGCAACCCACAAAATCAATATTAAATATATATTATGACTCGATGTACGAAACTCCTATCATTTCCCATCTTGATGAGTTACATTCAAGATATAGAGAAACTACTAACTCATCACAAATTTCATAGAACCAACCCAAGAAAGAATAATAATAATGAGTTTAAGATAGCAGTACATTCATCCAAATAAAAGACATAAAAATCAAAAGGAAAATTAAAAAAAAAAGTCTTTAACAAACCATAAAAATCAAAATCAAAAGAGGATCTCACCAAAGTTCACTGCGGGGGC